CAGCTCCCTCAGCCTCTCCTCATAGGAGAGATGTTCCAGTCCCCTCACAATCCTCGTAGCCCTCTGCTGGACTCCGTCCAGCAGCTCTTCATCTTTCTTGAAGTGGGGAGCCCAGAACTGGACAGAGTACTCCAGATTAATAACTCTTGATGAAAGGGGAAGCTCAACCAGAGCTGCTGACTAAGGGAAAAACACGCAGTAGAGAGAACACCCAGGAAAAAGGATCGGATATGTCACTCATGTGAAAGCTGGGAAACATGGCTGTGGATGAGTGTGGGAGAGAGTCCAAAAGGGAAAGGGAAAGCTGATGGTGAAGGGCAGGGCGGAGGGGAGATGGAAATCCAGGAGAAGAGTCAGGTACCGACCTATAGTAAAGAAGAGAAAGAAAAGAGGAGGAAAGTTTGGAGCTGAAGGGGACTCAGGAGGGAGAGGAATGGAGAGGGATCATCCCTGAATGAGGGAAGCACATTCCAGAGACGGCAGAGAAGACAGTATTTTCTTAGACACTGCGTCTAACTGAAGTGGGAAGTATATTTATATCGGATGGTTAGGGCGGCTTCTAATCCAGAAGAGAGAAATACACTAACTTCGACTTCTGTGGTTTCCCCTGATGCCCTTTGTAACTTTTACTTTGTTTGGGCCAGGAAACACAGCTTGGAGTCAGTTACTGAGATACATTATTAATCCTGTTTACTGAAGGAACAACTCTTGTTAGCTTTTATTTAAACTCGGCGAAGAGATCTCTCCTCTGTCGTTATTTACAGAGCAGAGCGAAGGACAGAATACTGGAGTGCCGAGTCTTGATCTTTTACTGCAGTCACCAGAAAACTCTAGCACGTTAATAAAGCCTTTTTTCATGTTACATTAAAGAGTGATTTTTCTTATGGATTTTATTTAATGCTGTTTTTTCTCCCCAGACTTGTATGATCATGGTAGAACAGAGTCAAGTGTGGATCGGTTCTCAAGACTCCATTATTTATATAATCAACACCCACAGTATGTCCTGTAATAAGCAACTAAATGATCATCGTTCTGATGTTACAGACATCATTGTGGAGAAGAAGAATGGAATACCCAGGTATATTTAACTACAGTGCTTTCTTCTTAAAAATACGTCTACAAGCAAATGTGAAGGACGTCTGTACCACCAGAAGAGTCACGGGCATGTGGAGAATCTTCCTGTGGTGAACTAGAAAGCCATTTTACGTAGCTACAACAGTATTCACCAGCATAGACAATTTGACCTGCAGTGAGCACAGGACTAGTTAAAGATCCAAATGATATTAGTATCGTGCTTTAATTATTTTAACTGAAACAAAGGCAAGAAGTTAACTTGTGCTGAAGGAAAAGGGGCCCGTATAGAAAACCAGTGACCTGTTTTCCTAGATGTTGCAAAGAATTTATTGTTTTAAACAGGGGGGCTTATCCTGCTAACATAAGCCTTCATTTAGCTGGTTTTTGTAGCTCCCATATTGTATGTGGTAAACTAAGAATTTCCTTTTTAAAGAAAGAGCATTATGTGCTTTGGAGCAAAGAGTCTAAAGGAATGATTTTTTGGACGAGGACGAGAGTGGCCAGGAGGTAGCATCCAGTGATGAGTCAGTACAGATGCAGTTTAAAGACCACTTCATTTTTGCTTTGAGCACATCATCGACTGGATGTTTACAGCATGCTTCTGGATTTTTCCTGCCTGTTTGTAAAAGAAATAATACACTTATTATTTTGTTCGGGCAAAATGCCTTTGATCTGTTGGTAGCACTGGGAAGAGTGTTGGCTGGAGGCCTTAACCTGCTGTCTTCCCATGGGAGCGGCAGCTCCCAGGCCAGACCAGACATCAGCCGTAGCTCGGCCAGCGGTGCAGCAGGCACAGCTGGGTTTCAGGGAGAAATTGCTTAGGTGTTGTTGGAACCTTCTGAAACAGGTTTTCTCATCTGAAGACAAAAGATGTTAAAGGTAAAAAAAAAAAAAGGGATAGATAGTATATGTGCACTTTCAGCTGTCTAGAGCCAGCTACCTAGAATATAGCGAGGGGAGAAAAGAAGTTTAGAGCCTTCCCTAGGCATCTTGGCGGGCACAGGATGGACATGCTCCTGTCCACTCAAGAATCTGGTCACCTTGTTTAAAAGATTTGAACCACTCTGATTGTTTGCTAGTAAAATAATGGTGTTATCTGGCCTTGAAGCCTTTTAGACTTCAGTCCATTTTCTGTTGGAAATTGTTACTGTGCTTTACTCTTGCAGTCTATGAAAGGAAGAACATTAATTTGGCTTACTGTAAAAGTGGTTATTTTGCAAGTAAGTCTCTTCTCTGTGTGCACTCTGTTCTGAACATAAATGTACACTGTACTGTTGTTGTTATTCTTTTGATCTGTACCAACAGTGAAGCGTACTCAAGCAGTTTAGATGGAACAGTGATCGCTTGGAACATCAGCTCTCTGAAAGTTAACCGTGTCTTTCAGCTGCCCTGCCAAAATCTCACTTCTATCAAGCTTCATAATGATCAACTGTGGTGCTGTAAGTTCATTCCTCAAATAATTAAAAAAAAATAATTACATCTTCAGCTAATAGGCTGTATTATTAGACAGAACAATACGTTAATCTCAGACTTATGTGTACATGATGTTCTTCCGCAGTTCTCCACTTTGTTTAAGCAGCCTTGTGTAGGTAAGGCCTCCAAAACACTTAGAGATGGCTGGCTTGGATCGCTCCTAGTGGTATGGCCCCTGCTGTAGGATGTGACTGCGGTATTTCTCTGACCTCCCCTGGCAATGCCTATGAATTGGAATGGAAGACTTTAAGAAAGACCTTTTAAAGTCTAGAGAGGCAATAGCAGTTGCAAATTGCATTTGATATTTCAGCTAGACTTTATGGTGTTGGTCTGACTTGGTAATCCCCGGACCTGCATTTTGGCTACTGCTAGAAATTTGTAGTCCCCTCTACAGGAGTTTAGATGAATAAAGTAAATCTTTGTTTCATAAATGGTGACCAACTCAAGGCTTTTGCACTGGTTCTCAGTACTGCTATACACAGGAGCCTGTATCCAAACATGCCTTAACAGAACAGCAGGAAAAGCTTTGGGAAGCTCCTGGTCCTGCTGTGGGCAGGAGTGATGCTGGCATAGTTGTGGTGGGTAGGGATTCAGCCCTGTTAACTTTGTAGCACAGACACTTTATCTCAGTTCTGCAGATGAAAATAATTGTGTACTTGAGAACCTAAGTGTAAGATGCCCTAATTTTCAGGAGTTTGTTTCTTCTCCTCTCATCATTTTTGGACTCTTAACTAACAGGTGTATGCAGTCCAGAATAGCAACCAGCATTCGGAGAAAGAACAGATCTCAAAAATGGATACTCTGAAAAACAAGAAGAAAGACCTCAAAGATTTGTTGATTGAGAAACAAGACAGTAGTTAGAAACATCTATTTCAATTTGCCTTTTTTCTGCATGCTTTGTAGAGAAGGAGGAAGTAGGCACTTGTGTTACTAACTCTTTATCTTTAATTTTGAAGGTACTGGAAGTTGCATACTTGTAGTGTCAACCCATGAATTTCGACTACAAATGAAAATTGAGCATCACCTGAAGGATGTGTGTTCCTATTTTCTCTGCTTCCAGCTGTTTCCTGAGGTATTACATTTAAACTGTTGATAGGGCTTAAAGGAGGCTTGACTACGTGGTGTGACAAGCCACAGTGAGTCACGGCAATGTAATTCCTGTCAGCAGTGCTCGTGTTAAACGTATCTTTCTGTGCTTTAGAGAGGCGAAGTGTGGGCGTCTTACTCAGGGAGTAGTGACCTGTATATTTGGAACACCAAAGACTTTACAAGCACACCTCAAAAGATTCATCTTCAAGATTGCTCTGAGATTACTTGCATGATAAGAGTTAAAAATCAGGTGAGAGACATTTGGACTGTTTTTACTTGTTGTGGAATTCTTTACGGAAGTTTTGCTTGGTTGCAGCTCTCGTGGGCTGTCGTTGGTTAGCTTCCTTACTGGGTGTTTGTGTGCGTACTGGTTTGACATGTTGATTCCTCTTTGAAATCAGAGAAGCTAATGACTGCCCAACACAACTGGCCGTTACAGGTATACCCCAAAATGCATCTCACGCTAAAAGCCTCATCAGTAATTAAACGTGTGGTGACTTGTAGCCATTGACAGTTCCAGGGACCTGTAGAAACAGAAAGTTTAGGTCTCCTGATATTTAATCTCAGGGCTTCTAAGTCTAAACCTTGGAAGACGTTAATAGGCAAATGATAAATGCCAATTATCTGGCCTTTTTCTTGTTTAATTACCACATTCCTAACTCAACAGAGACTAAAGGAGCCAGTGGCTTCCTGCCTTAGCATCTTGTGTCCCTGTCATTGCTGGCCTCAGGCTGTGTACCTGCTCTTTCTGAATGGTGTCAGTAGCTGTGAAAAGGATTGTAGTTGTGATACCACATGGACAGGTGAAGGGTTAATTTGCAAATAAATAGTTAATATATATCTATTGGGAAAGCAATTTTGTGCATCTTTTTCTCAGACTGTTTCCCTACTTCCGTCCTCAATTTTTTTTTTTTTCCATGAAGTGCCGTATGAAATAGGGAAGCTTTCTGTGTATTCAGCCCTTGGTTAGATTTGTGAACCAAAATGGAAAAACCTTGTGAGATGTCCTTCCCCAAAGCGGAGATGGCTGTATTTAACCCTTGTTTTAAGGGAGTTTCGAGGGTTGTTTGGAATCCCCAAGACCTTAAGCTTTCTTTTGGTCTACTTCAGAACTTCATTCCTTTTCTCTTCCACTTACTCCTCACTCAGCTCTGCCTGAACTAACATTGTAGTCCAACTCCTTGATACAAAAGGAGCAAAGGGAAGGTATCCCTGTGTGACCCATCTCCTGAACCCGAGTGTTCAGCGTGCCGTCTTTCAGCCTGCCGACAGCTCAGCAGCCTCCGTTGTCCGAGGGCGAGTCTGGAGCCCGTTGCAGTAGCTGGAGCACCCATGCTCCTCTTCTACACAGCTTTGTGGTTACTGAGAACGAACTCGCAGCCCGGTAAAGGCTAACAACAGCGTTGGTAGGGCTGTCTGCCACAGGCTTGCTTTTAAGTGCTTGGATTAGAAACAAGCCGTTGTTTGTCTTTGAGAAACGTGAGACGAAACCAGTCACACAGTGTGTCTGTCTGAATAGGACGCTGTCTGGCTGGCGAGCATTACTAGTGCACGACGGTGAGTACTTACCCTGTACAGAACTCTGCACAAGAAAAGCACGGTTGTTTTCTGCTGCGCCGGACCAGGTGCGTCTGACCCCGTTTTTTTCTGCCTCTAACGGTGGCCACTGGCGATGCTGCGCAGGGAGAGCGTGTGAACCTGGCCTGTGTCTGCAGCCTGTTCCCCTTAAGCTCCCTCACTGCCCATGGTTCCTGTTGAGGGGTACTGAGCTGTATACCTCTGCCTCGGTCTTTTATTATCAGTTTTTGGACTCAGTCTCTGTAGATCTGATTTCGTTTTGAGCTTTCTGATGCCGCAGTTCCCTGTAGCAGCAGGTTCCAGAAGTTCACTGTCAGCCACGTACACAGAAGTACTTTCTTCTAAGGGAAACCGACCTCTTACTGGTTTCCACATGTCTTTCTTACTTCTCTAACTGGGGGATGTGTTGGACAATGGTTCTACATTCTGCTTATCTGCACTTCTGTGATTTTTGTAAACCTTAGTGTGATCCCTCCTTAGCTGCCTTCTCTCCAGCCAAAGGAATCCTGGCTTTTTCCATCTTTGCTCATGTGACAGTTGTTCCTTTCTCTTGATGGTTTTAGTTACTCTTCCCTGGATTTTCTCTGCTCTTGCAGTGCAGAGGGCGGAACTGCACACAGCAAGCAAGATACGGGCATGCTGTGCTTTGTATAGTCTTAAAGTGACACCTTCTGTCTTATTCTCTGCACTGGGCCTGTGGAACCAAAGGCCAGCCGAGGTGAGCAGCTCCAGTGCCGGCACGATCGGCGGCAGAGCGCTCCAGCGCAGGGCACAGGGCGGTTTCCTGAACCGGGGGAACCCGAGGGGAGCAGAAAGACCTGCCAGGAGCCTGCGGCTCACGTGACAGCAGCTGAGGAGACCTGGACAGGCTCAAAAGCAACGGTGGCCGAGCCCCTACACCTATAAAAGAAGCCCCTGGGGATGGCTAACGACCCGGAGCGCCAGGACCAGGGTGCAGCACAGCAGTTGGCACGGCAGTTGGTGCAGTAAGGGCGCTGCGGCTCTGCCGGCTCGAGCAGGGGTAGACATGGACTCCAACAGATACGTATCTGTAGGAAGTTTTCGGTGTTTCCCTTTTCCAGCCTAGCAGTAGAGAACCCTCGCTGTATCGATGCGGCATGTAAAACTCCTCGACTGTGTCCTCGACTGAAATTTAAGGTAGTGAAAATGATTGTGGTTTGGTTTGGTTTTTCCTCCAGATGTGGGTTGGCAGCAGTGGAAGATCACAAGGCAAAAGCAAAGGGAAGATCTATGTGATCAGTGCCGAGAAGAAGACCGTGGAGAAGGAGTTGGTCGGGCATGCCGACACAGTGAAGGCGCTGTGCTCGGCAGAGGACAGGTACGTCCTCAGCGGCTCTGGAAAGGAAGAAGGGAAGATCGCCATTTGGAAAGCTGAATAGTTAACGCTATGCAAATATGCCTACCTGTGCCGGAAAAAAAAGTGAAGACCTCAGGCTTGTTCACTCCAACACTTTGCATATATTTCAACCACCTGTCAGTGTTATTTTTATTGTATTTATTGAGTTATTTTAGTACCTACATTTCTGGAATCAGACTAGAACTGAATCTTTCCTTGCACCTCGTACTGCTCCTGCACGTTCTGTAAAGAAACGGGAATGTGAACAGCGGGGTCACTGGCTTTGAATTCGATACGTGGTGTTGTGAAGGGTGAGAGTTACAGCCAGGCTGCGTGGTGCAGACCGCATCGAGAGAGCCGCCGCCAGCTCGGCGATTCTGCCGGAGCTCTTTCTAGGCAGCGCGTGGGCTGCCTAAAGAATGGGGCTCGATACTGTCTTTACGGCCTGGAATAGCTGGAAATCATTAATTACCGAGAAGAAAATAAACCAAGCGCATTTGCTGGATTTAAATGCTGTAATGTAAATGTTGGATTTAAATGGACTGTAAACGCTGAGTGTCTTAGTGAGCCAGCAGCTAGGTTTAGCTGGGAAGACTGTCTGCGACCCCTGGGTGTGTGCTATTTAAAACGTAGACGCAGGCAGGCTCTCCGTGATGGCACTGAAAGCTGGTGGAGCAAGATACTCGGGTGTTCTTAATGACTGTTCTAAAACTTGTTTTTCCTTTAAAAACAACGCACAGCACTTGGACTTTGTAACAGTTCGTGAAACTGATTTTTTTTTTTCACTTCTGAAGCACTTAATTTATTTAATTTCCACGTATATTACACTTGCTTTTGGGAACAACCTTTCAGTTACTGTGCGAACAAACCTCCCTCCGGTCGCCGCTTCTGTGATCAGCGGAGCTGCTGTTCGGTTGTGGAGAACCTGCTTAATTCTGAAGTTCCTCAGAGTCATCCAGCTGCTCCTCAGTGACGGAAGCGAGCAGCGCTGGACCGCCTGGAGCAGCGTTCCTAACGGCTTCCTGATGTACCTTGCTTTTTCCATTGATGACAATTATCTGCAATTAAAACTATAAATCTGTGCAGGATAGTTTTATCTGTATCAGTGCTGCAGTAAGTGGAATACTATATTTAAAATATTGTAAATAGAAGGAAAAGATGGGCTGCTACTTTTGTTAATAAATATAGAACAGTCTAGGTCTAATAGAAGTGCAAACTACTGGAAATACACCCATGTAATGTTTCTAGCTTTGAATGTGTTGATGAAAGGTTTTATCATATGATGGTAACTGAGATTTTACCTTTTTAGGTTTTATTTTTCAATTTAAGAATATTAAACACTATGTTGATACTCTGGCCTCTCTTTGTGCTTAATTCTTTTTCCTGTAGAACTTGGTACACGATACAAGAGTGATGATTTTTAGCATGGACTTGCATCCTTGGGTACTATGGAGAGTAATTGCCTGGGTTTTTTTCCTCTCTATGTATTTTGCATTCTAAAACCAGCTCCTGCTGCTAACGTGTCCTCCTCTGCGCCCCTCAGCTGTAACTTTCAGGTTCCTTTTTTCCTCCCCTGACAGCTGTCTGGCCTGGTGGTGGTAAGTTAGTTCAGTAAACGATTTATTTAATTACTTGTTTTAATTTAAGGATAAGGAGGGGACTGGAGCATCTCTCCTATGAGGAGAGGCTGAGGAGCTGGGCTTGTTCAGCCTGGAGAAGAGAAGGCTGAGAGGGGACCTTATAAATGCCTATAAATATCTGAAGGGTGGGTGTCAGGAGGATGGGGCCAGACTCTTTTCAGTGGTGCCCAGCGACAGGACAAGGGGCAATGGGCACAAACTGAAGCAGCTGTAGGTGACCCTGCTTTGGCAGGGGGGTTGGACTAGATGACCCACAGAGGTCCTTTCCAACCCCGAACGTTCTGGGATTCTGTGAATAGAAAGCAGAAGTTCTATAAATATTTCTGAATTTATTGATTGACCCCACAGAGCCCCTGCCTCCTGCCAGTCTATGTTACAGCAGTCAGTATTTCTCTTTTCCCCTGCTCGGGGAGTTTTCGGCTCCTTTCTGCTTGTCTCCCGGTCGTTGCCTCCCAGAGACGGGGCAAAGGCCGTCCCAGCAGCCCCGCACAGAAGGACAGACAGCAAGCGACACTCTTAGTCACACGCTTTAGTTTTAGGTGGTCCTGTGAGGAGCAGGGAGCTGGGCTCCATGATCCTTACGGCTCCCTTCCGCCTCGCGATGCGCTGCGATTCAAACCAAACGATGGCACTGTTCGCTGCCAGAAATAACCCGGCTGCGGGGCCGGGCGCAGCTCGGGAGCTCGGGGCGGC